TATATATATATATATAAATATATATATATACCTTATTATTGCTACTCCTGCGAGTCTTTTTTATGCTATCATTAACGTCTTCCAAAGCACTGACGTATAACGAATTATCCTCAGATTTTTCTAAATCTGCACTTCGTCTAATATTTACAACTTTGTTAATAATTTCTGTTTTATCATCCTTTTTGAGAATAGACTTAATACGAGGCGCCGGTTTTACTTTCGCCGGTACAACTTTTGATGTAGTAACATCTGCAGGTTTCTCTGAAGCAATGTTACTTCCAACTGGTTTGGGCTGAGTAACTACCTTTTTTGTTGGATTATGCCCTACTAGCGACGTAGTAATGGCCTGTCAGATTCATAATATAAAAGAAATAAATACATAGATAATTAAATAAAATAAATATGAAAACATTATGAACATTAAAACGATATGATTTAAATAAATTAAAATGGTGATTAGAATTAGATCGTTTTTGGCCCGATTTTCGTGTTAATGCCTGCCGTTAATGCCTTGCGTTTTTACAAGCCATTAGATTTACTAATATGTGAAGCTCTTTCAAGAATATTACGCATAGGTAGGATCGTATCTTCTAACAATTTGTTATGAGCAGCAAGTATCTTCTGTTCAACAACTTGTTACAAGCAGCAAGAAAGAATTAGTAGACACGAAAATAGTGCCGAAAGTTGCATTTAAATCCGATCACTAAATTAAAGTAAAATAAATAAAAAAAGTAAAAAAAAAATAAATTTATATTTTGTTATAAAAATTGATAGAATATAATTGCAGAGTACATACATTGGTGATATTTGTAAAAGCGTATCTCTTGTTCGTTTTTTCTTTAAGTGGCGAAAATACATCTGATTTTCGCTTAGTGCGAGATTCTTTGCTATTGGATGGTTTTAATACATTGCTCAATAAAGAATTTTGACTTCTGGTTGTTATTCCTTTTCTCAAAGTTGCAGTGCCGTTTTGTCTATTTTGTCCAAGTAATACTTTTGGAGGTGCCATTTTTCGGATATGATTAAACTTTGGTACTTCGGTTCCTTATCTAATTGTTATTATTCACAAAAATACATATAATTAATTCATAAATTATAGTTTAATTCATAGTATATACATAGTAATGTATATAGGGCATAATGATTCAGAAATAGAGAGTGAGTTTAAATTCTGATATAACAACATGCTAATATCTATACTTGGTAATTTTAGTTTAGTTTACTCTGTGACTACAGTGCTGTGTGTTTTTTATTACTTAAAATATGTGTTACTTTTTTCTTTTTATTCTTATTATTCTTATTATATTTTACTATACTATTATATATTATTAGCCAAAAAAATTATTTTGCTTGTTTACTGATCAGTTACATTTTAATGAGATCTCTCAGTCATCCAACCATCCAACTAATCATTCTGAGTTTACTCTTTAATGGAGGAATGATTGATCGCGTTAAAACATTTTAAAATGTTTATAAAAAATGATCACATGGAACTTTGTATGACATAAATAGCTACATAACGATTTAAAGTAAAAAGTCAATTTAAATGAAATTCTATATAGTGTATTTATAATGATGATAATTTTTAACCCTTCATTTGCATGTTTTTATTCCTTCTATCTACAATCTAAGTCTTTTGTTCTTCAATACAAGCTTTTTTACTACTTGAGGCTTCCAAAAAAAAGTGGAAAAGTTAAGGCTACTTTTCAATATGTCTATTACATTATTAATTAATTTTTAACTCAAATGTTAAAAACTTTATTTAATCTGCCCTTCTTTATTTCGGAAAAATTTTAAAGTGAAATTTCGCTTATGCCAAAGAACTCACATTGCAGGGAGAGTTTATGATGTTATTATTGAACAATTGTTAGTAAATTTTCTTTATTCAATAATAAAATAACGACAAAGTTATTGTAAACTAAAAAGATGTTTACAATAATTTTGTTAATGAATAAGTTATTATTTATCGAAAAGGAAATGTTATTCACTAACATTAGTCGTTCGGTATATCATTAAAAATTAAAAACAGGGTCTATAGGTTGCATTTCAGTGAAAATTTATAGTGTGGGTAATAACATACGTAATAGAATGAAAAAGTACTCAATATTAAAAATGCAATTTATATAGTATTGACTAATGAGATGATGCAATATTTCGTGCATTAAAGTTCATACATATTCTATACTTAAGTTACAGGATAAAATCGAACATTTCAGATGCATTTCAAGTATTCTTCAGCAAACATTTTTTAAATCTCACACTTCTGGATCATAAGACAGAATCGCGGAACAATTTCGGCATTGTGTGTGTGTGTGTGTGTGTGTGTGTGAAAAAATTCTCAGATCTTATAATAACACAACATATAAAATTAATGTTTAAATCGGAGCTTAGATCATTCTTATACATATTTTAATGTTCTGAAACCGAATCCGATGTTCAAATTGCTTCATAACGTTACAACGTTTGATTTGCCCTATTAAATATAATTGCTTTTAGAAAAAAAAAGTATTAAAAACTTGAGTAAGTGATTTTTAATTTTGACAAGATAACGATCCTAAACATTCGGCATACGTTGTGAATACATAATACTCCGCATATTTTAAAAACATCGCCATTCAGATTTAAATTGAACATTTGTGGAGTAAACTCAAAAATCGATTGAAGAAACGCATAGTTTTAAATAAAATAGTGTTAGAAGAATGGAATAAAATGCACTGTGAATAAATAATGTAATGCAATGAAAAAGCATTGTTAGAAAAGCGAAATAAAATACCATAAAATTTGTTCAACAACTTAGTTTCTTCAATTTTATTCAATGTCAAATGAATTGAAGAAAGTAACTAAATGTAAAGGATTATTAATTAAATGTTATTTTCATTTTTATAAACTTTCTTTATTATTACAATAAAATGTGCAAATATTTTTGTGCCCACAGGTAGAATGCTCTCAGAAAACATTTTTATCTTTCTTTTGTGATTACATTTATTTATCAATTTATATAATTTGAATTATTAAATATAAAGTATAAAATAAAAATTTTTATAGAAAAACTATTGCTGTCATCTTCTTTATAGCTGCAGACTATTTTATAGGAACAACAATACTTTTACTGTGCCAACAATACTTTTGTCTAACATTTACATACCTATCCAACATTTGTTGGACAGGTAATGTGTTAAATAATTTGATGTATAGTCTTTAGTGCTTCAATATAGATCATTAAGTGCAAGTAGTTTTTGCTGTTTATTTAAATTTAATGTATTTATTTAAATTTAATGTTTACATAATAAATACTAAACAAACATTCAAATAATTAACACTTTAAAAAAAATTTTTTGCATCTCAGTTCTGGATTGCACTAATTAAGTTCTAGTGCAATCCTCGTGCAAGAACAGAAAACTATGTGCAATTGTTTGTAATTGTGCTGTAGTATGTCGCGTAAGGAATGTGTGATATCACTCAGTGCACCACTACTTAAACTATCTGATGCCTTGATGGCTCGACGCTTGGTCTACAAACTAGCAATCTGTGGATCAGAGTTCGATCCCAACCGCGCCTCACGTTGGATTTTTTTTTGCGTTTAAGTTACGCTACAGCTATGAGTAACAATCCCAGTTGAGATGAGTAAGATCTCGATTTAGACATAAATTATGTAAAGACTCTTATTATCAGATAAAAATAAAACTAAAGGCATATAAGAGTCAAAAACAGTAAAATTTTAGTAAACAAGTCAATATACTTATTCTCCATATCATTATTCTAAAAATTTTTGATGGTATAAAATATAAAATGTCTTACAACTGAAAGTGAAATGATAAACCAAGTAAAAATAAGGTAAGTTAAATTAACCATCTCCGATGATGCAAAGTCACATACTGTTTATTATTGGTAAGTACAATTTATGAAGACCTATAGTATCAGTTTGTAATATTAAAAAAATTTAAAAAACAAAAAATAGTTTAATAAAATAGTTTAAATTTACGGTTATTGCCTTAATTTTGCGAGCCTTTGTTTAGCCGTCGCTAGTCTCTTGTAACATTGACATGTGTTAGTCCGACCATCTCATTTGTTAATTATGCGATTGACTCTTTTTAAGAATGTTATTGATCATCACTGGACATGTTTTTAACATTATCATACTTTGTGACTTCTTCGGTGAGTTTTATTATGATTGACGTGTATATAAATAATCTGGATTGTTCTCAATTTTTTCATATTACTCATAGATTCATGGAAATTTTAACATTCAATCGAGCAACTGATTGAGAACAATTTCCGTCGGTCAATATACAATCCATCGAAGATGGTTAACTTAATTTATCTTTATTTTTATTTTTGCTTAGTTTTTTATCATTTCACTTTATTGCGGGTCGTGACTGTGATTATATTGAGTTATCTGGAAAGTTCGTGCCGATTTTGAAAGAAAATTGAAACGCAGATTTAAATTTTTAATTTCATTTATTAAATTTAAATTTTGCGGCACGAACTTTCCGAACAACCTAATAATAAATCCGAAGCTCGATTAAGAAGCCGAAACATGTAATCGAGATATTTTATTGTTGTAAGACATTTTATATGTTATACTATTAAAAATTTTTAGAATAATGATATCGAGAAGTATTAGTATATTGACGTGTGTTTATTAAAGTTTTACTGTTTTTGAATCTTATGCCCTTTACTTAGTTTTATTTTTATCTGATAACAAGAGTCTTTAGATAATTTACGTCTAAATCAGGATCTTATTCATCTCAACTGGGATTGTTACTCATAGCTAGAGCATAATTTAAATGCAAAAAAAATCCAGTGTATGTGAGGCGCAGTTGGGATCGAACTTGGATCCACGGATTGCTAATTTATATACCGAGCGCCGAGCATCAAGGAGTCGGATGGCTCGGTTTGCAAACTAGCAATCCATGGATGCAAGTTCGATCCCAACCGCGCATACACCTTCACATACACTGGATTTTTTTGCGTTTAAATTACGCTCCAGCTATGACAATCCCAGTATAACAATCCCAGTTGAGATGAGTAAGATCCTGATTTAGATTAAGAGGCATTATTTACTCACTGATCACATTTACAAGTTTAATTAAGTGTATATAAGATTTAAATTAGGTGACGATTTGTTACTGGCCAATTTGGCTTCATTTACGGGAGCCAATTAAACAATAAGAAAAAAATAATTGGCAAAGCCCCAGTTCGATTCCGATTACTCCTCCTACATCTTATTTTATAAGAACTTAATATATTCTTTCTCCTACTACTATTACTACTAATATCGAAAAACTTACCAATAAGGTTTCTATTAGATCCTTCCTTGGTCTAAGTTTAAGTAGATACACTGAGTGATATCACATATTCCTTATTACGCAAGTGAAAGCGACATAGCACAACTACAAATAATTGTACATTATAGTTTTCTGTTCCTGCATGAGGATTGAACTAGAACTGAAGTAAATTAGCGCAATCTAGAATTGATGTGCAAAATACTTTAAAAGAAATTTTTTGTATGTGTTTTTGTTAATGTGAAAACGATTCCAACACTGAAAATGAGAGAAAAAAATGACTACAATTTATAATCATTTTTTGAGACAATTACATATTTATTGTTGTTTTAATTGTGCAAGTATAGTTAATTGTGCTATTAATGTAGTTACATACATTGAAAATCTTTAATTTTTTTTTAATATATATATTTTTTAGTTATTATTACCACAGCAGTAAACGAAAAAAAAATTATATTCATTACAATTGTATTTACTGAATAAAAATGTTTACTTTATTTATCTTACTTATATCTTGACATTTCATTGCATTAATATTTCAAATTATCATAAATTATATATTATAATATTTCTTTATATTTGATAGAACTATATATTATTACGTTATATCATTACTAATAATCATAAAAAATGGAGCTCCTAATCATAATTATTTTACCATGTAATTGTAGTCAGAATATCAAGTATTTTTCTCTTAGCAAAAACTAATAATTCGATTTTTAAAATAATTAGAAAATTATTATTAATATACAGGTAAC